TGCACAGTTAAGGTATTTCTGTCTTCAAGTATCCAGAGTGTACACTCTATTGATATGAATATGGTCAGCCTTTAATATACTGAAAACATAGCATAATATCCTGGTATAGTCAGGGTGAAGTGAAAACAGTAGTTGTTAATAGTTGTGTGAATATGGAACCAATTTGTTTAACCTGGATTAATCTGAACAGAGTAAATCTTACCTATGTAATCACAAGGATTCTGGTATCAAGAACTGTTGATATTTAGTTCAAGTGTGTATATAAATCTCAGAGATGCATTGTAATTATCCCTGAATGTATTATGGAGATATCATATAGGATTTATATGCCAAAGATATCATTGATTTGTCAGTTGTATGTTATTATCAGTAATTCTGACGGTTTTTGAGAAGTGTAGGGAGATAATTACTGAATAATTAATCCAACAGAAGCATGAAACCAACAAGGGTATGAGCTGCATCTCCGGAGGCAAACTTAAGCCTATAAAATTGAGAGCAGAATAAATTAGAGAAAGTGCCCTGCAAGAGTATATAGGAAATAAGCAACAAGGGAAAGCAGTATCTCACTTTTCAAACTCTATAGCAGAAGCACCTCATTTACATTATAATTAATGATTTATTAGATGCTACTCTGAGTCTAATAAAGATGTGAGAAAATTTTTTCCCTGAATGAGTAAAATATCTACATACAAACTGTGAGTTGTTCTGAAAGAAATGGGTGTGGTTGCCCTAATGTAATAACTGTACTGTGGACAAGAAGCTAATGTTAGGACAAAACATGGAGAGAGAGAATGGTTTCCTGTAGGCTAGACAAGAGTGCATTTTATCTCCTTCTCTGTTCGGCCTGTAGGCAGAACATATCATATGGAAAGTCAGACTAGAATTAGATGAAGGAGGAGTGAACTTTGGTTGAAGAACCAGCAATAACGTAAGATATGCAGAGGATACCCTCTTACTGGCAGAAAGCAGCAATGACCTAAAGTGAAACAAGAAAGTGGCAAAACAGAACTACAGTTTGTGAGGGTTCGATGCGATGATGCCAGGATTCTTTCCTTTCCCCAATAAGTTCACCAGACGCCATTTGCATTGGTAATGATGGAACATTTATTTTTGGACTGACAAATAAACCATTGTCTTGAACTGGCATATAGTCTCTTTCTCCTTCCTCCAATGTGGTGGGAAGGGGCTTCCAATCTTCTAAAACGAAGGAGCTACCAAAATTAGAATCCCATGGTCCTGGCAGCTCTGATGGCGACCATTCCTTCATCGTCATTCCTGTCGGTAGAGGCAAAAGGGGCACAGACTTGTCTCCAAGGAAATCCTCCCACTTGAGATATCCCCTGGGTTCCAGCGCCTCCCAGGTCTTATACAGTCTACCGTCTTCATCGTCTCCCATGCTCACCATTCACTCTCTCCCTTCTCTCTTGTTCTACTCTTTCTCTTTCTTCTCTTAACTTCTTCCTCCACTCCCTAGCTTCTGCTTCTCCCCAATAAGATGGTCTGAGAGGAATCATCACCCTTCTCCTGTCTTCTTCCCTAGGCACCTTCAGTCTCTTCCATTTCTGAGTCCAAGTATCTTGCAAGCAGATCCATTCCCAACATGGAGGTAATGTGTCTCCTCTTTCTATCACTTCTCCTTCCCTCACTTCTATCTCCTCCCTCTCTCTACTTCCTTTTCCCACCTCTTTTAACTGCTCTTCCTTTACTCCTATCCCCCTCAAGCCCTGGGACAATTCCTCCTCTTCTGCCCGCTAGAGGGACTCCTCTGGGGCTTTCTCTGGAGTCATCCTGAGTCTATATTCCCCTCCTTTCTCTGTCTTGTTAGTGGGAATGGATGGCGCTGCAGCGAGCGGTGACTCAAACTCACCTCCTGGCTCACACAGTTGAACAAAACTCATGACTACAGAAGATGGCAAAACTCATGACTACAGAAGAGCTGCACAACCTTAATGTTAACAATGTAGAAACTGAAATATTTAGAGAATTTGCATACTTGGGTTCAGTCATCAGTCCCAATGGAGATTCAGTGAAGAAATCAGAAGACCTGTGGGACTAGGAAGGGCAGCAATGAAGGAACATGAAAAGATCAAGTGTAAGGATGTATCACTGGAGATCAATGCCAATATAATCATATTGCTGTATTTCTGATCATCATGTATCTTGTGAAAGCTGGATATTACGTAAAGAAAGCTGACAGGAAAAAATTGATTTTTTTGAAATGTGTAGCTCGAGGAGAGCTGTGCAGATACCTCAAGTGGGTTCTAGATCAAAGTAAGTCTGAATTATCTCTGGAAGCAAAAATGTTGAAACTGAAGCTGTCCTACTTTGGACAAAATAGAAATGAAATAAACAATGTAATTGGAAGCAGGCGATGGAGAAGCTGTATTCTTACACTCAAAACAAGACCAGAAGCAGATTGTGGTACTGATCATGAACTTTTAATATCCAACATTAGAGTTCAGCTGGAGAAAAAAACCCTAAAAGAATCATAGTTCCAAAATACATTCTGAACAGATTTCCTGATTAATTTAAAGTCCACATAAAAAACCAGTTGTACACTACTAAACTCAATTGACTGTGACCCAGAAGAACTATGGAGTGAAACCAGAGAGATTATCAGGGGAAAAAGAAAATGCCTGTAGTTTTAAAAAAGATAATAAGCTAGATGGATGATGGAAGAAACATATAATTGCAAAGGACAGGTGACAAGCAAAAGTAAAAAGTGAGAGAAGTAGGATCATAACCCTGAGCTCAGTTTTTCAGCAACTGTCACATAGAGACAAAGAGAACAACCTGTGCAAAGAAACAAAGAACAACAAAAATGGAAATACCTAAGATCTCTTCCATAAGATCCAAGAAATCAAAAGGAAATGCAAGCTTAATTTAGGAATGCTGAATAACCAACAAGGAAGCACGCTATCTGGCCAGGAGAAAATAAAGAGAAGATATATTGAAGACCTATACATAAGGGACAAAAGAATGACAGACTCCTTTGAAAAGGAATCATGTAACAAAGAGCCTCTAGTTCCAGCAAGTGAAAGGAAAGCTGCTCTGAAAGTACTAGGAAGAAATAAATCATAGTGTATAGATGGAATTGCAAGAGAACTGTTTCAAGCCAAGCCATAGAGACTGAATCTGTCAAAATCCCAAAGAAGAATATGCAAAAAAAAATATGGAAAACAAAATAGACTAGAAACATTTTATTCATTCTAGTTGCTTAAAAAAGGTGATGCCAAGGAACGCAGTAACTGTAAGATTATTCCTTTTATTTCCCATGCAAGTAAAGTGATGCCTAACATGTTGCAACAAAGGCTTTTACTTTATGTGGAGCAAGAGATGCCAGATGTTCAAGCTGGATTCTGGAAAGGAAGAGACACTCGAGATCATATTGCAAATATCTGCTGGCTACTGGAGAGCACACAAAAAATTCAGAAGAAAATCAGTCTATGCCTTATAGATGATAACAAAGCTTTCAGCTGTGTAGCTCATGAGAAACTATGGGTTATTCCAAAAGAAATGCATGTGCCTCAGAGCTTGATTGTTCCGAGTAGACATGGTCTAGAGGGGCGGGGTAAAAATCCAATAAATAAATAAATAAAAATAAATAAATACATAACTTGCATTGTGGAGAAGAAGCTTCTGTTTGGACAGAATACAGAGAGACAAAATAGTTTCCTATAGGCAAAGATGTCAGACAAGGGAGCATTTTATCCCTTAATCTGTTCAATTGATGTGCAGAACATGTCATACAGAAAGTAAGACTAGATTCAGATGAAGGAGGAGTGAAAGTTGGTGAAAGAAACATCAATACTGTACCTGAAATGACTTCTGATTAAAGTGAAAGAAGAAAGTGGCAAAGCAGGACTGCACTTGAATGTTAAGAAGACAACAATTAAGACTACAGAAGACCTACAGAAATTTAATATTGAGAATAAAGAAACTGAAATAGAGATTATGTAAACCTTGGTTAAATCATCAATCCAAATGGAGATTGCAGCCAAAAAATCAGAAGACTGAGACTAGGAAGGGCAGCAATTAATAAATAAGAAAAGATAATCAAGTCTAAGGATGTGTCACTGGAGACAAAGGCCAAGATCATCCATCCTCTTGTATTTCTGATCACCATTTATGGGTGTGAAAACTGGACAGGAAAGAAAGCTGACAGGGGGCAAATGATTTATTTGAAGTATGGTGCTGGATGAGAGCTTTGCAGAGACCCTGGGTTGCCAGGAAGACAAACAAGCAGGTCCTAGATCAGACCAAGTGTGAACCATCTCTGGAGGCAGTTTACAGTTTATTGTTGCATCACTGGAGGCAAAAATGTTGAGACTGAGGCTGTCCTACTTTGGGAACATCTTGAGAAGGCAAGATCCTCTGGAAAAGACAATAATGCTGGCAAAGGGGGAAGGCAGCAGAAAAATACCACATATGAGATGGATTGACTCCTTAAACTAAGTCTTGAGTTGACAAGAATTGAGTGGAGTGGCTGAGAAGAGGACATGTTAGAGCTCACTCATTCACAGGATCATCATAAATCGGAGATGACTTGACAGCATATAAGAACAACAACAGCATATATCCTTGCTTATTATGCAGGGTTACTGTAATGACCTGCGCACACAAGTGTTAAAAACAATAAAGACAGGTACAAACGCATACAGGTACAAACAGTGCTGCATTACAGGAGGCCGTTTGGTCCATAGGAGGATGCCCCTAATCATTTCCGTCTGCATTACTGGGGTGTGACCTTCTATTTAAACTTGCCAGAAAAAAAACAAGGGCTTCTGTCTGGTTGGGCAACAAGTCCCGTCCTCCCTTGCCATGGGGCAGCATCTGAAGGTGGGACGAGGGCCCCCTCCTTTCAGGACGGCTGCTTTCAGAGACCTCGAGGAAGGAGGGTTGAAAAATGAATTATCCAGGTCCTCAAAGCCCTTAAGAGGCAGGAGGGGAGGGCTCGGATGAAAGCTACCGTTAGGTGAGGCAGCACCACCCGCCTTTTCTCCCTCCTTCGGGCTGAGGATTGGCTGAGGCAGAGCCGCGGGAGGGCGAATATTCCTCAATGAATGTGGAGGCCCCTCCTCGACATCATCGCTGGCGGTAGCACAGCCGCCAGTTTCTATAGCGACGGCACTGATCCTGCGCTCCTCGCGGTAGTAGCGAAGCTGCTGCAGCTCAGAAAGAGAGCAAGCGAGCGAGCGAGGGGCGAGCGGCGTTTCCACAAGAAATCTCGCCTGCCTTGCTTGATTGCCTGCCCGCCTGCCAGCCCGGGTTGCCGGGCTACAGCACCCGGACAAGGTACAGTCTGAGGCGAATTGTGCCCTTCACCGCGTCCCCCATCCCGTCCTCTCACCCCTCCCCCTCACACGCGCGCGCACACGCACACACAGACACACACACACTCTCACTCACACACACACACACACAGAGCCCACATTTGGGTCGTGCTGTCGTTTTTATTACGGTCCCCGGGATCACCTCTCCAAAAGGTGGGGGGTGAGGGGAGAGGCAGAGGCGCGCCTGAGGAGGCTCCTGCAGCAACAACCCCATAAACATCCTCTTCTGCTGTCTCATTACTCACAGATCTCAGAGGGTCCAAGTGAGTGTCAGGGGGTAATACGGAGAGAAGTTGGATTTTGGGGGTGGGGTGGGATGGGGAGACCAGGGCAGCCCCACTCCGTGGAAATAAATGGGAACAAGTGACATGGATCGAAGTGGAGGCAAAGATTATTCAGTAACACCTGGGGAAAGTTTTCGTTATCTGGGCTGCGGGGGGGGGTCCACAGGAATGGGAAGTTTATAGTTCAGTATGTCATCTGGGGGGGCACTAGTTTTCATCAGTGGCAAAACTCCCTTTCCTTTCAATAGAGTTGGACTGCACTCTGTTCAGGGAAATGTTGGCTCCAACCCCTTATACAGTATATACTTAGAGGAAACCCATTCCAATCAGTGGAGGCTTAGGTTACTGATTATTAACGCAGGTCTTTGTTGATTTCACTGAGTCTGTTTTAAGTGGGGCTCGGTGTGGCTCCAATAATTTATAGAGATGTTGCAGGGTTGTTGGACATGATAGAGCAAAAAAAGGGGGTGGGTGGGAATGTCTGATCTGTTGTCTGTTATGACCTTGCTTCACAGAGGTGTGGAAATAATAGAAAACAAGTGACTGCTTTCTTAATGAGAGTCACTTTCTTCTAGCAGACTAAAAGTACTGGCAATCTGTCTAATGATACTCTTACAGGGAACTGAGACGACTTCTTCCATTTTCTTTTCCTGAGCTTCAGAAAGTGGGATTAACAGCAGCTAGCACTGGTGCTGCTGCTGCTTTATTTGAGGAGGAGATGTTTGCTTTTTTATGTAAAAAATCTCTGCTGACAGATGTCTGATTGGGTTTGGGATTAAATATATGCATTTGGAAATGTTATTGGAAACAGCCTTATATCCTTAAATATAATCCTTATTTTAAAAGGTATGAGGTTGTCTTAAATGGCTATCAGTCTCTGACAGACTTGGAGGGAAGAACTTTGTATGTGAATACTATCTTTTAGTCATTTAGGGGAAACTGGGTTTGTCTGTTCAGTGGCAAAAAACCAAGCCATTTTCAAGTTTTTACAGGTCTACAGTGCAAATTATAGCTGAATTAACATTTAGTTAACATTAATTTGACATTTTAATTAACATCTCATCTTGTAGTACAGTCAGTGTTAACACTTAACATTGGTACTGCTTACTGCTATGAAAATTCTGGTGCGCCTAATAATCAGCTGAAAAGGAATAATTTGGTAATTCACTGGAGCAGTTCTTAAGCAGTTTTATTTTACTTTTCAAATTTGCAAACTTTCAAAGAGAGTATAGGACTAAAGGTTTGTTGTTAGAGTGGTCATCCAGACCAGATGGGCGGGATATAAATCAAATAAATAAATAAATAGTAAAGGTCAACACAGAACACAGAATTTAGGCAACTGCAACAAGATTCATAGTTCAAGAATGCATAATTACCATTTTTTCTAAGTTTCCTTATGTTGAACAGCAGTGTAACTTGCACCAATTCAGAAAGTGAAGGCTTTCTCACATGAAGATGCTGTGATGTGAAAACATTTCATCTGTTGAATATTTGTTTCTCATGTAGCTGATAGAGTCCCAGCCTGCTTCTGAAAAGTTAGCAAACTATTTTTATTTCGTCTAGTAGCATATGTATGAGATGTACTGCAATTTTATACATGTCTATTTGGGAGTTGTTGTACTGTGTGCCATCAGGTTGGGACTAACAGGGTTTTCAAGGTAAGTGAGCTTCGCTGGCTGAGCAGGAATTCATACTCAGACCTCCTGAGTCCTAGTCCATCACTCTATTTTGTTTTTTTTTTTGGACTTATATACCACCCCATAGCGCTACAAGCACTCTCCGGGCGGTTTACAATTTTAATTATACAGGCTACACATTGCCCCCCCAGCAAGCTAGGTACTCATTTTACCGACCTCGGAAGGATGGAAGGCTGAGTCAGCCTTGAGCCGGCTACCTGGGATTTGAACCCCAGGTCGTGAGCACAGTTTTAGCTGCAATCCACTATTCAGGAGTAAATCCCATTATATTCACAGGATAAATTTACATATGTCTGTGGCTTAAAATGTCATGTATCCTACTGTGTCACTTCACTCCGAAGTAAATATATATGTGATTACAGTCTGAGGTTTCCTTTGAAGGAATTATTATTGGAGTGTACGCAGGAGCATATCCTAATTTCAAACTGTCGTATCCTTCTCTCAAATTTATAGAAAATAAAATATGAAATAGTGAGTTTTATGAGAATACAGTACTGTAAAACACTCTTTGGGATTGGCTTTATGCAATACTTAGTGTCAAAATATTTTCCTTTTATTGTCTACTAGGGACTCAGCTGGGTTTTTTTGTTTTGTTTTGTTTTTGAAAAAGCACTGTCATTCTCAATACCTGATGGTTCTTATGTAGCACTTTGACACCTTTTGTATTTTTGAAATTCATTGCACCAGTCAGTCACCTGTATTACTAGGTTAGTAGAAAGAGTTATTATGTTGCTAGATCATTTTCTAAGAGCTATGATATATAAAAGGTATATATCTGGCCATGAAAAATCAGTTCAATTTATATATTTTCAATGAGTCACAGATGTCCACATGAGCATGGCACAAAAAAGAGGAAATACAGTATTTGAACCTAACACGGAATTGACATTAGAAGTCATCCTTGTACACAAAAGAAAGCCCCCAACTTTGTATGTTAATGGCCCAATGTTATGCTTTCTTTACTCATATCTAAGTTCTATTCCAATCCCAAAGAAGGGCAGTGCCAAACAATGTTCCAGCTACTGTACAATTGCACTCATTTCACACGCTAGCAAGGTTATGCTCAAAATCTTACAAGGTAGGCTTCAGCAATACGTGGACCGAGGATTCCCAGAAGTACAAGCTGGATTTCGAAGGGGCAGAGGAACTAGAGACCAAATTGCTAACATGCACTGGATTATGGAGAAAGCCAGAGGATTCCAGAGAAACATCTACTTTTGCTTCATTGACTACACAAAAGCCTTTGACTGTGTGGACCACAACAAACTATGGCAAGTTCTTAAAGAAATGGGAGTACCTGAATACCTTATCTGTCTCCTGAGAAATCTATACGTGGGACAGGAAGCAACAGCTAGAACTGGATATGGAACAACTGATTGGTTCAAAATTGGAAAAGGAGTATGACAAGGCTGTATGTTGTCCCCCTGTTTATTTAACTTCTATGCAGAATACATCATGCGAAAGGCTGGACTGGATGAATCCCAAACTGGAATTAGCATTGCCAGAAGAAATATCAACAACTTTAGATATGTAGATCAGTGGTTCTTAACCTTTGTTACTCGGATGTTTTTGAACTGCAACTCCCAGAAACCCCAGCCAGCACAGTTGGTGGTGAAGGCTTCTGGGAGTTGCAGTCCAAAACTCCTGAGTAACCCAAGGTTAAGAACCAGTGATGATACCACTCTGATGGCAGAAAGTGAGGAGGAATTAAAGAACCTCTTGATGAGAGTGAAAGAGGAGAGTGCAAAAAATGGTCTGAAGCTCCACATAAAAAAACTAAGATCATGGCCACGGGCCCCATCACCTCCTGGAAAATAGAAGGGGAAGATATGGAGGCAGTGACAGAGTTTACCTTCCTGGGCTGCATGATCACTGCAGATGGTGACAGCAGCCACGAAATTAAAAGACGCCTGCTTCTAATAAAAGGGTGCAATGTTTGCATATATAGTGAAATAATTGCTTGTTACTATCAGGAAACTAATACAGTACGGTCTCCAAACTTTTCACCGTGAGGTCCACATCATAATTTCCCACATTTTCGAGGGGCAAAGGAACATACGTGTATGCCTGCCCACCTACATGGATGCATGCTGGGCCGGATAAAAAGGCAAGGCAGGCCAGATGTGACCCGCCAGCCATGGTTTGGAGATCCCTGGTATAGCGGATAATACTGTCCTTATGAAACCCAAACGTGAACACCATGCTCAAAATATCTTACAGTATCTTTACCATTTATTATTGTACACTGTGTAATCCACTGAAATTACATAAACTACAGTCTAACATATATTTTAAAAAACATTCTAAAGCCTTTTTTCCTCATCCAGTTGTCCTCTTAAGAGTGAGAAGAAGAGGCATGCCTTTCAAAATTCAGTGAGGATGGAGCAGCAGTTGGAATACAGTATAATGTCTCAAATACATTTTCCTGAAGGTTTAGGTGCCTATCAGTAGCAACTTAAGATACTTACAGACATTTGCCAGGGTCCCCTTAGAGATAGTGATTTCATTGTTACTATGATACCCTGAGGAGATTTAACAGGAGGTGTGTTGGAGAAATCTCCTGTGGCCATTAAAGATGTTCTGAAAAGTAGTTACTTCTGAAGTTTAATGATGTAGCAATAACAAGGCATCAACAAACACCTCAACCATAAGATGCTATTCAAGTTTAACAAGGCATCAACAAACACCTCAACCATGATGCTATTCATACATACTTTCCAAGTGTCCATGTGTGAAAATGCTGTTTGTTCTGATTTCATATCTGAAATAATTTGTTCTTTGTTAAACCTAGATATCCCATAAATTCAATGGTATCTCTTATTGTAAAAAATTGTCCTTGTTTTTTTTTAAAAAATAATCCTGTGCCAGAAGGGCCCCACTTTGCTGAATATTACATGCCTACAGAAGACTGTAGGGACGTGTTGGCTCTGTGGGTTAAACCGCAGAAGCCTCTATGCTGTAAGGTCTGTAGATCTTCAGCT